TTACTTACTCGATCTTCCAATATATTCTTGTTCCCGTATTTCACAAGCTCGTGCGATGTTTTCATGTTATGAAAAGCGAAACGTTTTGCACTAACTTTTTTCACACACCCTGACGACATCAATATATCTTCCAGATTTCTCTAAATGATATGCCTGCATGTTCAAGTAAAGTTTAGACATCTGCTGCCAGAATATTTTGGTACATTTACGTCGTTGTGAAGAGTTTTTGGAAAGTTATACACTATGAATATTATTGATGCTGGATTAAAAGATTATTTATGGATATATAAATATCTATAAATAATTCTTGTAAAATATATTTACATATTAAAGTAAATGGATCCAAAAATATATTTCAAATTATTTGAATGTCTTATACGTTTAATGAAAAAAAAAATTATACCAAACTTTTCTTTTACTTAGTCTTCTAATTAAACCTGATATGATTATGTTCATACATAAAAGTTTTAATTCTTATGATGATTTTCTATAACGTTGCAGTGATCATCAATAATAGGTACATATGTTATTAGAAGGTATTGGTGATAGATTCTGACTTCAGTGATTGCTATTGATTACTATTATGTATATTAAAGATATTATTAAATTTTGTTCGGTAATAATGCAATTGATTGCGTTACTAATATTTATTAATTGCTATAAATCAGGATCACCAAATATCATTATTTTTTTCTTTGCATCCTAGTTGTTTAGCTGGGTAATTTACCTCTTTCCGTTCCTAATTGGTTAGTGATTGATAGTTTTTTAGTCCGTGGTTCATTAGTTTGCTTATCAAAAGTTTGGAAGTTTGTTCATTCGCATGTTTTGCTATTTTTTCATCACTTATCCTTATTTAGGATTTGTAATGACTTTACTACTTTATTTCTATTTACACCACATCATACAATTGCAATTTAATCTTGTAATTCATATTCTAATACTGAAATTAATTAAAATAACTAGTAGTGTATCTATGGCATCGCGCCTTGAGGAAATTGTTAGAACTTTCCGTACCGAATCAAAATTTCGAACATGCGAATTATTTTCTATAATCAAAAAAATATTTTTCTGAAATAGGTAAAAAAAATTGAAATTTTTCGTTTCGTCAACACAAGCAGAAAGTTTTTTGAATCATTCAAACGGGATGCTTATTTTTCTCAAAAACTGCCAATTTTTGCACATTTTGCTCCGTATTTCCTAAACGACTAGACCTGCATCTGCCAAAAACTAAAAATCACCACTTCACCCATAAAAATGCACTTGAATTTGAAATGGAATGAAATTGAATTTTGAAATCGAATACTCCGTTTTCTCAAAAACTTGATTTTTCTTTTTGTACTCTTTGCTTCGCACTCCCAAACGGCTGGACCTATGTTTGCCAAAAACTAATCACTTATTAATAGGAATTGAATGTTTTTTGAACCATTTAAATAGGTCCTTGCGCCAGAAAATGTGGGCGAGAAATTGTTTCCATTATTACATACTACTGGATACACACATCCATTTTTGTCTAAGGTATGCCAAAATGTTCAGAAACCTTCAAAACGTAAAGAAATGTTAAAACATTTCAATTTCGATTTTTGAACAATAACTTACCCCACTGGTAGTTGATAGCATATTGTGTCTAGATTATTATCTATCAATTGTAATATATTAAGTCGTAATAGAACTCCCTAATATAAATTTCGTGCATTTCATGCATCAAAATATTTCTACAAATAACTTGAAGAAACTTTCGAGCGACCATAAACCATTAAATGTGTTTTAAAAAATATCTCCATCGTCGTAATTTATAAAATTTAATGGAATTTCATAAGTGTTTCGCTATAATATCCGAAAGCTTTAGAACATCTTAAGTACCTCGTATAGTCGCGAACCGCGAACAGCACAAGCGATGTTTACTTTTTACGTTTTAAAAGCATTTGCGCAAATACAACTTTGCTTAATAGAAATTTAATAAGATGAATATCATAGTTGGATTGTTCCAGCAAAACGCAGTAAGTCTAAACGACGTAATTATAACTTTAAATTAGTGTTCTCGAAAGAGCATCATATTATACTGCACAGCAGAACATGGGGCAAACTGAACGTGAAATTTATATCCGAGGTTTTGTTTAAGAAACGGATATTAAGGATGGAATCTTGTTACAACAATAAACTAACTTTGGTTATATGCTTTATCAAATTGCAATTTGCTACGTAAAGCAACAAATATACATTTAATTATTGAAATTTTCACTACAGTTAACACAACAAAAATATGGTGCATGAGAAAAATCATATTTTTTCTAAACTAACCCAAAATTTCATGAAAAATCATAATTATATACATCATCACACATATTTCATGAATCATTTTATTGTGAACTTAAGACTTATTCGATCAAATTCAATTATTAAGATAAAGAACAATTTAATCATTATTTTTTTATTTGATTTAAAATAATACTATTTTTCAATTTTTTTTTTCAATTATGAAAATTTTCCTTAAATATTTATTTCCCGAAAGTAATGACGTCATGAAACAACAGGTTGGGTTGTGAAAAGGCAAGAGTTTTATAGTAAATATACCATAAATACTAATTGTATATTAACAATACTTTGTGCTAAAACTACATAACAAAATATGTCAATATGGTATTAAATTATCTATATTCTTCTAACAACAACGAAAAATATCTGATTAGTTAAAACTATTCAATTGTTTGTCAAAAATGATAACCAGTGTAATTCCACAAAACAACAAATATTATTATACATTAACAATATTTTACCATGCAAAATAATCTTATGTATATATATATATATATTGCTTATAATCAATCCTTTATCCTCCTATCTCCAAAAAATTAAACCTAAACAAAAATAATTCTAAAATGAAATGTGATACGGAAATATATGAAAATGTGTAACTGATCGAGAAACAAATTATCTCCAAATTGCAGATGGGAACTTCTCGGATTTTTCATATATTCAGTACCTGACTCGTAAGTATATATGGTTAGAAAATTATATTTTATTTATAGGTGCCGAATTTTAACAAAAAAGTTGGAAAATGTTTGTTTGCCAACCATTGCAATCAGTAGGAAATACAAATGGTGAGACTTAACACTTTATTCCATATCACGATTGATTTGGATAACCGAATGATATTTTTGATACTTTATTTTATTTTGAAAATAAGTTTATACTTACCTTAAGTAAGTTATTGCTATATCCGTTTCATTTGTGATCTATATTGGTAAAAAACAAATTATTAATTGTTTGACCCATATTTTAACGTATACTAAAACAAAATCTCTTGTGTATGTACGAAGTATTTTGTTTTTTTTTCATTAATATTATTTTAATTCGTTCTCGTTTTTCGTTAATATACAGCTTCTAAGTCTTGCTCCTTCGATTTTTTAATTTAATCCAGACTCTTTATTTAAGATCACATTAATTTCGCTAAAAAGCCATTTAGTCTGGTGTATTTTAGACACTTGTTTTCGCCCTGTCGCGTCGATACCAATCAAAAATTCAGCTCACGAACGATTCCGGAGAACAGTGAACAATTTAAAAACCAATTTGCAATAAAAACAGAAAGTCCTTTATAGATAACTACCACTCGTATATATATTTGGTTTCATATAGAAATCGAATGTTTGGTATAATGATGCCCAATGTAAATGAATCATAGTTGCAGTTCAGATTTGTAGTCAATTTGAGAATAAAGTAAAATTAGTTGTTTATTGCTTTTTTTATGTGGATCATGTCTACTATTAATACTTTACCATTGTTTCGCTATGGATTTGCCTTTGGCACGTATTGAAATTGTTGTTAAATGATTTCTGCATCGACTATGCTTTCAAATTCAAAGAGCTTATGTATTCACATCACGGACTGGCCTCAGACCAGGGTATCTATTATCATTATTAATGTACGAAATAATTATATTGTAATGCGTTTGTAGTCCTTCTGAACTACATTCGATATAATATTACTAATGTACCTACAATACAGGACACTATGAAGTGGCTACATTAGTCTGTTAATAAATAAATGATACTTAGCACCTCGCGAAAAGTCCATTAGCATTGCTGGCATACAACATTAAATATTCTCATTGTTAGTGTCCTACGGTTATATAGAAGTACATTAACGAAATATTTTAAAAATTCTACTTGTAAAACTCGCTTCGAGAGCAAAATGATTCCAAGTAACTTCGTGAAGCAGATGAGAAAAAGTGTAAGATTCATGAGGCGTATTAATTAGCATAAAATTCATTACGACAATTGCTAGGCTAAGATGCTATGTAAATTTCAAAGGTCTTGTAAATTAATGGTTTTATCACGTTATAGTAATTATTTTTATTGAATTATATGTAAATTAATATAATAAAATATTAGTACGAGGTTAATTAATGTAGTAAATTCACTATCTACTTAGTAAAAACATGCGAGTACTAATTAACTAACCATAGATTTGGAAGCATATGAAGCACAGTTTGGACGAAAAAGTAAATTAATAGAAAAAAATCACTTATTATTTAATTTATTTGGCCAATTACATATTAGCAGTTTCTTAATAGTCAAACGTATTTTTGCTAATTTTTAAATGAAAACTCTAGTTTAGAATCGATTGCGAATAATTCCTTATTAATTTGATCACAAAAGTGATTGGCATCTCAATTGATCTGTCTACTAATCAGCTGAGTTATAAAACTGTTAATAATGTTGTATTATATCATGAATTAACAGTGCATATTCAAAATGTTAATTTCCAAGTAAATTACAAACATTTATGTTCCATTGATCTTTACAATATTCAAGTGTACTTCAGAAACATCCTACTTCATTTTGAATCCTTTTCTCAGGTCATACCAAAAAGGTTATTATAGTTGTTTTTCGATTATTCAAGCGTTATTCTTCGATTGCAATGGTTCGGCTATATTTGTTACCATTCCAATCGAGTTCCATGGAATTTATGTATTTTTTTTGTTCACAGATCCACCTGAGATCACCGATCGGCCCCGGCAGCAGAGCGTCCGGGTCGGTGGCGTCGCAACATTCTTCTGCGGAGCAAAAGGTGACCCTCCTCCAGTTATACAATGGAAGAAAAATGGAAAGAAAGTGCCAGGTTTGTAATAATAATATATATATAAAGAAATATAATATATTGTCGTATGTAGTATAAATGTAAATTCCAGGGAATGAGTGGTTAAGTCGTACATTCCAGGGAATGAGTAAGTTAAGAAAAGTGGCTATAATTTTGAATACTCTGGAATACTACTGTATATATTATAATACTTTATAATCAGAGCTTCATTATTGCTTATCTTTTATAACAAATTGTTCAATACAGTTACTTTTATCAGGGAAAAATTGAACACCATCACTTTAATCATTTTGGCGAAATTAGTCTTGACCACATTTTCACTTATTCCACATGTCACTATAAATAACGAAATTTGTGAGATTTATTTTAATATTATAGAAATGATTATTGTTGAAAATTCATTCTTAATTTATTAATTATATTAATTAATATTATATACACGATAAATATTATTTATGTAAAATTACTAAGTGTAAAAAATAAATTTGTCATTTTTGTTCTAATAAAAAACTAGTGGGGCATGGCATAGTGGGACATAGCCTATCTGAAAATGATTTCTTTCGATACGTGACTATTTAGATCCGACTTAATATGTCATTTACTATTTAGATTCATTTCGTACATGATTAATAAAAATGTCATTGTTAAGAGTAACATAGAACAAATTATATCTAATTATTTCTATTAAGATAGAAAATTGTATTATCGTTATATTTATACACTAATTGACTTTTAGTGAATGCATAAGAGCTGTCCGAAAAAGAGCACTTTGATTTCCAATGATAACTAGTAATAAGCGAGATATTTGAAAATACTGTTTTTAGGAAGCAGTCAGTAACATATTATTATTTTTATTTGTGATTTGAAATAAAACTTTACAATTGTAGTAACTAAAAACGAACAACGCCTTTTGTTATCAATTACCTTCACGTATACATTACACTATTCACTAAACTTTATCTGTGCATAAAAGTACTGTGAAAATTTTAAACAAATGGCAGGTCCAGCGTCTAATAAAAAAAAGTGTAAAATAATGCCATTTGGCAGTCAAAAATTAACATTAGACATATGTACATCGTATTATCAGATATTTGATAAAGATTACAAATTTTGTGTAAATGGGTTCTGTACCAATGTTTACACGTAAGACGACTACGCGGCGCTCACGTTTTCGATATTTCGACTCCAAATCAGCTATGCAGTGCTCCAAATATTTAAAATTTTCAAAATAAATCAAAATAAAAAAAAAAATCAAATTATTTAAAAATTTGTCAAAAAAGTCAAATTTTCAAAAAAAATTCAAAATTTCTCAAAAATCTAATTTTTTCAAAGTTTTGCAAAGTTATTTTAATAATTTAGTTTTTGTTACAGGAAGTTACAGCAATTTGCCTAAAGGCACGATGCCATGTCCCACTAGTTTTTTATTAGAACAAAAATGACAAATTTATTTTTTACACTTAGTAATTTTACATAAATAATATTTATCGTGTATATAATATATATTTACAATAATTAATATTACTATGTATTCATATTTGCTTGTTTTACCCACCCAGGTTCCCAGTCCCGTTACACAGTTACGGAAGTGACCGGTGGAGCGTTGTTGCGGATAGAACCGGTGCGAGCCGGACGAGATGACGCCCTCTACGAATGTGTCGCCGAAAATGGTGTCGGCGACGCTGTTTCTGCCGAGGCATCCCTTAATGTCATCAATGGTAAGTCATTTTATTTATTCATTGATAGAAACAAGAAATATAAACATTTATGAATATGTCTATATTATGAAGATGTCGATATTATGATGTATAAACGGTATATTATGAAGCTATGTACCGTTTGTTTGTTCTCTCTGTCGATTTATTTGGATTAGCTCATTTGATCATCATATAGAAATTTGAAACATGCATAAGATGTCCAATTAGAAGTGAATGGTAGTTTATTTTGTATCTATATGCTGCTTCTTCCCACGATTGCAATATTTTTGATTTATTACTTAGAAATATGTTTTTCATATAGAAAAGGAAATAAATTTACATATGCCACGTTTGGATATTTCACATGGGTATGTCAGACTTATTAATAATACCGAATAAAACCTCCAGAATTTTGACTCCATGGATGGTAAAACGGTAAACGCCGTTAGGTCTTGTTCAGCAGTAGCTAATAATATGTCATTTTGCCAAAAAAATGGCTTCAACTCAAAAATAAAATACCCCGAAAAATTACCAAGTCACCCAAACAAATATTTAAAAGAATTAAGTGTGGAACTAGAAGATTGAAAAAATGGCCATACAAACTTAAATGAAATGTCAAAAAATAAAAAAAATAAAAATCTCATAGGAGGTAATCTTTTTAAATGCATCATCGTGTTAAAAAAATTACATTATTTTGGTCGGCAATAAATCTATGCAAGAAAAGAAAAAAACTCAAAAATATATAGGTCTTTGCAGTCATGATCTAACCATATACGTAGACTTATTCTACTCGTGTCCTACAATTTTGTAATATCCATTGATTATATTCTTTTGATACACTTTTTCAACATTGCACTGATATTTTATTCATGAGCAAATTATTTAATCGTCTTAAGAAAACTTACTTCATAGATATTATTAACTTCCCGTAGCGTAAGTTATAGTAATCGCAAAAAAAATGAAAATGAATATATTTATATATCTATACGTTTCAGAAATTTTTTAACACTTTAGAAAAAATGAATGTACGTGTGTGTGTGCGTTCGGATACAAATTTTTGCCGAAGATTTTGGGAATACGGTTTAACCGATTTTAATGATTCAAAAAGCATTAGAAACCTATTGATAAGGAGACGTGCTGATTAGCTTTTGGCAAAGGCAGGTCTAGCGGTTTCGGAAATCTAGTAGAAAAAAGTAAAATAAACTGCCATTTGGCGGTCAAAAATGATCATTAGACATATGCACATCAAATTATCAGATATTTTATGGAAATTTTAATAATACGTATAAGTTTTGTTTACATTTTTATGGGTTTCGTAACATTGTCTGTCTGTTAGATGGCGACGCAACGCTTACGCGCTTCGATATTTCGTCCCTATGTAGCTAAAGCATTGAACAAAAAATTAAAAATTTCCAACATATTTCAAAATATAAAAAAACTTTTATTTTAATCTTCAAATAATTATTTTCAAATAATTAAAATTTGTCGAAAATTTAATTTTTTAAAGTTTTAAAAAAAATTGAATCTTTCTTCAAAAAAAAAAATTTGGTACGGAAAGTTTTCTTAAGGCACGATGCCATACACCACTAGTTCATTCGATATATGAGGTAAAGTGATATTTTAATAATAATATTGGACTTTTTGCCTTGTGCTACTTGCGCTATGTATATATATATATGTATTATAAAACTTACTATTCACGGTTACTTACTATCAAGTATTTGATATAATATTGTATTCATAGCAAAATATAACTGTTGTTATATAAAAATATATAATCTCATTTTTGTTGTGGTTTTCTTTTAAAAATCTAGGGCACGGATCACTGAAATGGCATTACTCGTGCAACTTTTCTTGTACAAAGCTATTTACAGCGGTGACAATTGTTTTTAATACAACTGAAGGATTACATCGAAATGATCCTTCATTTAATCCTGCTAAAGCCTTGTGAAAAGCGAAGCATATTTTTTCGTTTTTCACGACTATCGCACGCTGAAGGACTTTAATTCCTCTAATTTGTACCGCGAGCGTTTGGCGTCTCGCATAGCCGTATATCGCGATTTTCATTCATTTTCTGTTATTTATTTTTTTCGAGAATCCTTTTTTAGTCCTCGCTGTCCTTTGCTTGGTCGTGACGTGCGGATGGTAGGCATTATTTTGCTTTTAATTAACCGCCCAGTGACCGACTAATCGGATTAAAATGTCGTGCCGATAAACAGAGCCGTCGCGGATTCGCCGACGACTGGACGTTGACGGCAACCGGCTGTTGACAGCTTGAAAGTTTTGACTTTTGAGCATACGAAATGTCCTGCAACATATCATAAATATCATATTTTTGAGATGGAATGTTTTTTGTATATTAAAGAAGTTTCATACGTAATATATCCTCTCTTCCATATAGTAAGTGTTCATTATAATTATAACTTGCGTTATACCAACATATCCAGCCACGTTTTGCTGTGGTATTTATTAAAGTCCACCGGATAATCAACAGTTCTGTTCAATACTATTGATCAAAATGTTCTTAAAATTTATATTAGTCGAAAAATAAATAAATGTTTTGAATGAGCACATTACAAAATTTGATATACATGTATGTACCATATTTCTTAGTTATTATGTACAACTGCCTGCTAAGTCGGTTTGCTATAGTTTTCTATTTTTTCGTGATATTTTATGATCAGTTATTTATTTATAAATGTTTTTATTAGTCACTAACCAATGGACATATTCTTAGCATTTAGTATTTTCTTTGGGAAATCAGAAACGAGAAATATCTGATTTTCGAAACTAATCGATTGCACTGTATTTTATTTGTTCAAATTTGTGACTTTTAAATAAATTACTTTGTATCACTAATAATATAAAATTTCCTGATCGTAAGGTGAGATTCATACTATTCGTAGGACAAATTTGGATCAGGTTCTGTAGTTTCTGAGTCCATATGTGTGAAATGATGTCTGATTTTTGTCACTTATACTGTTGTTTGTGGAACTGTTTGGTATAGAAATTAATTTTTTTTATATTTAAAAAAATGAAATTAGTGGTGCATGGCATCGTGCCTTAAGGCAAATTGCTGGAACTTCCCATACAATTAAATATTCGAGCAATAAAATTTAATAATCAATAATATTGATGAATGATTAATAATAATTGTATATAATAATCATATACAAGTGTAAAGTACATGGTCTTAAATAGAAAGAATCTAGCAATAAGGAGTTGAATTGAATTGGAATTGAAAACAAGTTTATATTATTTATGTGTACTATTAAAATTAAAATGCATCATCTTTATTGAGAATTTATATCTATATAAGCAACTGAATTGTGTAACTTTTTTCTACAGAAGTATTATAAGTATTATAAAACCGTAAATAAATATTTGTTGATGTATGAGTTTAGGTTATCATATATGTATATATGTACATTTATTCCCGCGTAAGTCCACATAATTAAACGAGCATATAAATCTTTTAGGCACCTCGTACTATATCTATATCCCTCCTTTAGGGCGATTATCGTTTTCCAGCTTTTGTCTCCTATATGTATGGTCACATATATGCAGCAACTCTAATACCATTGTTCGGAAAATAGTAAATTTTATTTTTTGTAAAATGAAATTCACAATTTTTATTAATGAATTGATGAAATAATTAGTATCGTTGAAAAATTTGAATTACTTTATCAATGATTATGTATGTTTTCATAGTTCAAGTTTAAACAAAAACGCCCACAAATCTATCATCATTTGGAGAAGAAGAAGAACGAAAATGTAAGTCTTCAACACAAAGATGTGTAATAAGATGCAATAGATCATCTGTTGGATTGCGTTAGAAATGAATTTATAGCTACCTATATTTTGAAATAGAGTTGTCTTTTGGCATTGTTTCTTGTTTTGATAATAAGAGGATGTTTCTATAAAGGACATTTTCTCACAGCTCTCCGTTCATTAAATAAATTATTCCCAACATTCTACTCGCAGTATACGTGTTAACTTGTGGACATGACCATATGTGTGTGTGCGTGTGTGTGTGTGTTTGTGTGGCGTTGTCCTTGTTAAATCCGCGCAAATGTGAGGGGGCTTCATCGCGCGGGAATCCTGGTAATCCCCGGTCGGCGAAGAGACTTTAATTTCTTGTTTATGACGAAAGTTTTGATCCGGACGCGAAGCCGCAAAACGCTCATCTTTCTTGCCACCAGAACTGGCAAAGTGCTGTGACGATGGACAGATAAGATAAGTTTCGACTCTTGGACCCACAATTATTAGGTTGCATTTTAGCTGTAATTGAAAGATTAACGGTTTTTGACCTCGTAGCATAAATTATTTACATATAGTTCTTTGGTGTGTGACGAGCGTTTATGTGCCAAATTAGAAAGTATGTTACAAATAATCAATTTACATAATTAAATAACAACAGAAGAAAACAGCAGTATTCAAATAGCAATCAGAAAATAAAATAATTCCTAAAGCTCTTGTACTGGTTTCTGGAACTCCAGTAACAGTACTGGATAAAGTATTCGATATAAAACTCCTTCTCACAGTTGCATTTTCTATTTCCTCGTTCCCAGTTCACATATGATTCCATACAACCGGCACTGTTACGAAAAGAATCATGAAGTTTGTTGTCTTTTAGAAATCTTTGGGATGAGTTATGGATTGCTTGTAAGATTATCCGCAGCTAAAATCGCATCAGTATACTTACAAACATCACACCACACACACATTGGGATATAGGAAAATCTCTTTGCGACTATCTTGAAATTCTTATCCCGTTTGCGTCGCAGAAACTTTGTTTTGATGGCCGGCAGTTTATGTGGAATTATTTTTTAAACTGCTTTTATCTTATATCGTTTATCTCACATTTCTGGTTCTATGAATTGATGGATTATATACATACTGGTCAAACATTTATATTTAATATTGCCTACTTCATAGCACCCCAAGGATGCTTTAGTCAGAAAATCCAATTTGCCAATTTCATATTTCTTCATTCTCATTTCATTTCATTTCAATCAACA